CCATGGCCTGGTGGGAAAGCGAGTGGAAACAATTTAGCGCACATCATGAGAAGCTTAGCCTCTGGGACACTGTGCTAAATCTGTTCCTAGCATAGACCCATTCACGTCTGTGGCACCTCCATCAGGTAGGTATACATCTGGCTCATTATCAGCTTCCTGAGTACACTGGCAAGCTTTGTGTGCAGTCAAGAGCATCATGTACTGTCCCTGCCTTCAGCGGGGGTGAGGACTGGAAAATGGCAAATTTTATCCTGTTGCATGCAGAATCCTAGTATAAAAGGCTAAACAACCCTGTGTTTGCCCTACAGAGACTGAAATCCGGGGAGGGGGGCAGACAGAATGTGAGCCCTGTTCCAGTCTTGGCTAGTATAGTCGGTTACAAAAATCTGCTGGAACTGTGCAGCTGTTCTGGTTACCTCCTAGGATTTGGATAGTTTTGGAGACTAGTGTGTTGACGGTGAAAGCTTTAACAAAGTGGTTGTAGCTTTTCTTCTCTTCCCACTCAAACCTTTAACTACTTGGTAGAGTGTAGCTATTCTTTGACCTGGCTTAGCCTTTGGTGACTTAGCTCAGTAGAGCTTTAGATCATTCCTCAGCAACTTTTTTTTCCATTGTCTTTGGGTGGGAAAGAGATGGAGGAGATGGAAATCATTTCCCCCCTCCCCATCCCTTTCGAAGCAACACAGGTCAGGAAGGGCCTAGTTGTAGTTTGATAGTACTAGGAGCCTTCTTGTATTTCAGGCTGCCCAGGCTTAGCCAGTCCCTTCTCCAGAGTGCATACACATGATGCAAGCCAGAGGCTGATAGATGAAATGGCATTCATCACAGATGAAAAATTACTTGGCCAGGCTCACACAGCAACTCAGTGACAGTCTGGCTTCCCCTTTTTAGTTTTCTAGTTGCATCTAGCATGCTAGGGAAAGGCTTCACAGAGGTTCCTTCTTGCAGCTGGTATACATTTGGAGCCCAAAGACTTTCCTGACTGTCCTCTTATCCAGTTTATCAGAAGGCTGAACTGGGCAGTTATAGATTGTTTCAAGACGCAGACTTCTCTGGTTGTAGGGCTCTTTACCATTCAATGGTTCATATGACACCTGAGCTTGTGGTTTTGGCAGCTGCTGCTGGCTAGAGAAGCACTGCATAGTTCTAACCATAGCACTTGTGACTTTCTGCATTGATGTTCGTGTTCCGATACCCTAACACTCCTTAGCAGAGCACAATTCTGCAGTGGGGGCAAACACAGCTTCTGACTTTGTTCTGATCTTATCAGTAGCTTTTGCAGCTTGGGAAGACTTCTTATTTCATTAAGAGGCCAGAGTTATCAGTTGCTCACTAGGGAGGAGGGAGAAGGCTTTAATTGGCATCCTGCCAGCCTGGAGTGGGCACAAGTAGCTTTTCTGCTAGGGCTGGTGTCAGTTTTGACTCTTGTTTTACCCACAGACCCTGTTTAAGTGCAGCTGCACAAAGTACAAAAAAATTGTCAGTTCCTTTAGTATTGTCATTTTCCTGCCATAGAAAGTGCCTGTGTGAAACTAGGAGGCAGTCTATTCCCAATATCCATGTCTGCAGAGAAAACCAAAGCAATAATATTACCAGTGTGATCTGCTGTTAGAGAAGCAAGGGAAGACTAACGGACCTTGGGTACATGCATAGCCCCTCTTGGGTTTGTTTCAGATGTGAGCTTGGAATTGGAAGTGGAGACCTAGCAGTGGTGCTGGAAGTTAGTCTCATCTCAGAATGCTTGATTCTCATCCGAGTGGGTGTCTAAAGACTGCTGCACAGTCTCAGATACTGACTGAAGAGAAGCCTTGCAAGCCTGTGACTATTTGCATAAGCATTTAGTAATACTTAACATAGGCATCTTCTCCACTGCCTGTCTTCCCTGCTAGGCACTCCTCCAAAACTTGTTGCTGGCTCCTGGCTTTGCACTGTACCCAAGGATTGGGTTTTTTATCGTCTACCTTCATTACTGCTATATAAACCTCAGTCATGTCCTATTTACTGCCTTACAGAGACAGCAGCTAGGAGCTTAATGCCTCATTACCCTTGTCCATCCAATCTTCCTGGGGTTATAGTGCACAGCATTGCACCTACAGCCCTCTCTGCAGTCACAGATTCTAAACCTCTGAGCTTCTTTTCCAACTGCTGCCAGACACTGAGCTACTGGCCGTGCTTATTTCGACTCTTGGAGGAACTGGCCATGTCTCATGTTGATAGCAAAACTAAGGTAGGCTCCACTGCAGAAGTAGGGAGCTGAGAGCAAGGCCACAACGGCTGATCCTAGTTTATTTTTGGATACTTCCCAAAACCAGGTCTTGCACCTTTTCCTTGCAGTATTTGTCCTGCTTTTGCCAAGGTTCAAGTGTAATACTCTGATGTAGGAGCTGTAGGCTGGAGTATAAGAAGGAATTGCCTGGCTGGGACTGCTTCAGAAATCTGGTTTTGGTGCCATGAAGTTCAGGGGGCCTGTAAAGAACAGGGGTGGGTTGTTCCTCTGGTTGGTGGGGACTATGGGGAATAGGAGCAGAAACAGGATAAGTGTGGATTGCAAATGCTGAAAAGCCCAGAGACCAGAAATCAAAAGAGGGGAGGAGACCTGCTGGTGCAGCTGATAGACCCAAATGGAAAAAATTTCAGGTGCTTACATAGCCACACAGGCCATTTTCTGTTGTAAACTAAGGATGATAAAGTAAGTCTTTTTGTAAGCATTGCATGATAAAGCAATATAAATCTGGGAGGGTTACAGCAAATCCTTCCTTTTGTTGGCTGCAAGGAACAGGAGATCTGCAGTGAGGTGCAGGAGGATGCTGCAGCATAACTTGGTAGCTTGTGTCACCACTTTAACTGATAAGGGGTAACTGGTTCCTTGGTAGCCTAGGGAAGAAGACACTGAACATATCATTTTGTTTCCCTTTCTTTCTCTTCCTAGAAAGAGAAGACTGGAGTGCTATGAAACCAGAACACTCAGGGTCATGGGGCTTCTGGCTTTTCAGAAGGACTGAGGAGCTGGTGTCTGGCATACCAAACAAGAAAGGATGCCTTGTGACAATTGTTTCTTAATATTCCTTATTGCAGTTCTTCACCTTCTGTCCCCAACCCCCAGAAAAGCCAGCATCTACTACCCAGGCCATTCTTACCTTTGTCAATCACTAGCCATCTTGTTTCTGTGTTCCTGAATCAGGACATCTGTTTGGTTGCTAGCCCTGCCTCTTCGCTGCTGCATCTTGTTTTGATCCCTGGCTTTCATTGCCACCTACAAAATAGGGGTGATTCTTAGCTGCCTTATGTGACAATGGAGATTTAAATGTACTAACACTTGGAGATGTATACACTCCTCTAGAATGGATGCCACTGCATAACTTCAGAGGATTTACTAGTCCGTTCAAAATGGGGAGGGAGGAGGCCATAGCAGCTGCCTCTTGCTTAGAGGAAAGCACTTTCTACTGTAATATATATCTCTCTCATCTGGTTTTGTTTCCTCCACTTCTAAATCAACTCGTCTAATTTCACTGTAGCAGTTTCTTTCTAGCTAGCACAGAATTGCAGTGTTAGGTTTTCCAAGGCTGAAGCTACTCTTAATACTGAAGCATACTTAGTATACTTTTAAAGTCTCCCTCCTGGGGGCAAGCCTGGTTTGATGGTGCCCTTCTCACATTCTGCTCTTCTAGGTTGTTGACAGGGCCTAGAAATGAATATGCTTCTATGATTTAAATCCTAGCTAAAAGAAGGACATGTTAAGTAATCGCAAAAAGACAATCTGGAACCACATAGCTCACCACCTCTAAAAGGCTGCCCATTTTGTATGTGTTGAACTCCTTCAGAGTGCCAGGGGTGCCAGCCTGGTGCTCATTTATTTGATATATAAAAATCCCAGGGCCTGAAACACTTGATAGCTTTTAAAGTTTTAAAGAGGTATTGCTTGAAAGGTTAGTGGCTCTCACAGATGCATTTAATAGGGAAGATTTATGCACTCTGAGCCAAGATTATCCTGTACATTTACCGCAGAAATTCCATAATGGGATTCCATAGAAATTGCTGTCAGCAGTTTGGCTTTTTTTGCTTGGTTCCTCTCTTTCTTCTCAGAACTGTTTCCTGTGTAGAGTGGTGGAGGATTTAGTGTCCTGTTTCTTCCGCCCCAGCGGCATTACTCAATCTAGCGCTCGTGACCTCCTTGGCAGGGTCCTGGGTACTAATTCTGTATCACTTTTCTGGAGGTGGGAAGCGAATCGGTTGTGAAATACCTCACTGAAAAGGGGGGCCCTTTTTCAGTTTAGGATCTGAACTAGGGGGGGAAAAAAACTTTCAGCCTTGGACAAGGAAATGAGTGGTTCACAAGGAAACTTGATTGATTGATCTCCTCCCCCCCCCCCCCCCCCCCTTACTATGAACAGGCTAGTTGACTAATTTCTCATCAAGCTTGCAAGGCAGCAATCTCTTATTTTTCTTCCCAAAAGCCCTGTGTTCCTGGAAGGAGCATTAGAAACCAGCATTTTCACATGCCCTCAGACCAAATGAAAGAAAAGCAATGGAGCTTTCTTGCCTGTTGAGCCTGTCTCTGAAATGGGTGGAGGCTGCCTTTGAGAGCAGATGGAGAGTTCCACTTCTCTGATCCACCATGTTTCTGCTGAGATGTACCCTGTTTGCAGTTAGACCAGAGCTGGTACCAAGTGAAGGGCTGAGCTGCCTCCTCCACCATCGTCACTCCTAGGAACAACATAACTGTTGGGTGACATGGGTGCGGGAGCAGTGTCAGAGCAGTGATTTCTTAAATCCACTACTAACCAGTGCTGCTGCAGAACTGCCAGCATAGACCAGGCAGGAGAAAGTGGCACTACTTTGCCTACACATGCCCTCCCTAGGGGAGGGAATATGCTGCAGCCTTCCTCATTTCAAACTCTTGTGACAGTTGAGCACACAGGCAGACCGTGTGGGTTTCCTTGTTGCCTTTCCTGTGAAAGAGCTGAATCTCCCCCACGCTTTGTTTTTCATCCTTGGGCTTCCTCTGCTGTTGCAAATTCAGCGGAAAGGCCAGGGTGTAAACCTTCTCTCTGTCTCCTCTCTTTGCAGAGACGCACTGCAAAATAGGGACCAAAATGACGGACTCCAAGTACTTCACTACTACAAAGAAAGGTAACTGTGTGGGGCTTCTCATGCTTTCAATGGTGTCTCCTTGTTCTTTCAATTCATCTCCCTGATGATGCCCTTGTCTAAGTTTTGGTACAAGTTCTGTTCCCCTCCACAGGAAACTGTTGGTGTGACTTGGTTCCAGAGCTTTGCTGAGCCCTGCGGTAGTACCCTGTCCTGCTGGCTGCTAGAGGTCCAGATGCAGGAAGAATTTTTTTTTTTTATTTTATTTGCTGCGTTTACTAATCAACTTTAGTAGCTGCATGGTGTTAATAGGGAGGGGGAAGATAAACTGTTTAATGGCTTTTGAAGCTTTTTTTTTTTCTTCCTTGGTTACAGAGCTTAAGCTAGCAGCATGGATGCTTTCAGTCAGAACACTCTGCCCTCCAGTTTGCTAAACTGGCAGAGGAGCCCTGTGGATGCAGATGTTGTTGGTAATCTACTCTGTAGCTGCAGAAGGAACCACCCATTGATTAGGCTTCCAAAGACTGGATAGACTGAGGATGTAGCTGCCAGACTTCTGTATGGCAAAGGCATTTTGCCCAGGCTCTGCTGCCTGTGCATGAACTGAGACCAGCCTTTTAACCGTCTCTCTCTATCAGTTTCAGCAGCATGGTAACACCCATTGTTGCAGCTGTCAGACTGGCCTCTTCCCTTGGTGCACTTGAATAGCTTAATAACTAGAACTAGGAGGATGGTACGGCGAGGAGAAAAGTCCTGGCAGGGCCTAGAACTTCTACTGATTGCTGAACCAGCAATGGAAGGCAGAAGAAAAAAATTAGCTCTTTAAATCCTACACTGAAGAAGCTGCCAGACCAAGGAAATGATGAATAGGCATGTGGTACCTTGCTGATCAATCTGCTTTACTAGAGACTATTTACCCTTGATCAGTGAGGTTGGAAAGCTGATTAAGAGCAGGGGTTTGGGTAACTGTAATCCCAGTAACTAGCATACTAACAGTTGTGAAAGCCCTCTGCTCTGCTGCTTATACAGCATGACTGTAGTAGACTCTTCTGGTGCTGTGGTCTTAATCACACAGGCATTTATAGCCACACATGCTACTGCTAAATTCCGATTTAGCGAGGGAGTTGGTCCTCAACACTTGCGTTGCTGAGCCTGTGGGCACAGTGAATTTTATCTAGCTCCTATTCTCAGTCTTTGTTTTCCGCCCCCACCATTTCCAGGCTGGATGTTTGGCCCAATCTAAAGATGGGCCATTGTCCATACCAGGCCACAAAGCAGCTCATGGTGCTGACAGGCTGGGTTGAATGATTGAAACTTGGGATTGTTTTGCAGTTGCTGTTGCTGCATTTCAATTGGTGCCAGTGTTGCTTTAAGCAAAGACTGCCAGTCCAAGATTAGTCTATAGATCAGCAACTGGACCATTGTCCTTGCTTGTGGTAACTCAAATCCTCACTGCTTAAACTGCTAGGAAAGTATGAACAGCTGCCTAATTAAACACTGGCAACCACCCCTTGCCTAATTTTGGGATTAGTTTTGGTTTTTTTTTCTTTTGGGAAAGGCACATTTGTTGCTGTTGTGATTCTGTTATTAGAACAAGAGAGAGGAATAAGTGATAACTATAGCTGAGGCTCTGGATTGAGTTTGCATTCATAACTTGCAAATGCTGATCAGACCTTTTGCAGGAGATGAGGGGTTTGGTAGCCATTTGGTTAAGAGGTCCAGCCTCTCCTAGCTGCTGGAATAGTGGAGGATACTGGGATCCCTTCCACAGTGCTGTCTAGCTGGCAGGTTCAGCTAGCTAGTGCTTCCTTCCTCTGGCCCTCATTTGGAGGGTGCATTAATAACCACTAATAGCAGTGCAGCATGTGAGTTCTCATTATAAATAACATGCCCCTTCTTGCCACCCCTCCACGGTTCAGAACTCTGCTTTCTGCTTCATGGATTTTTTTTTCATGTCTTGCTAGGAGCCAGCCATGAGCTGGTTAAGTTTTCTGACTGCACACATCCATTTCCCCTTTTGGATAACTAGTGTACTGATGTTTCCGACTTGGAGAGCTCTTTGTTTCTCTAGTACTCTTCATTCAGAGATATCGGGTAATGATGCTTTGATGTCACTTCAGCTGGTGAAGTAGAGGCTGTGGCATCTTGAAGTGTCCCTTTGACTGGGTTCCCTTGAAGGCCCAGGTTAACAGTGCTATTTGTTCTTTGTCCCCACTTGAATCAAGAGGTTGTTACATTAGCTCAGTGGTTGGCAACTTTTTACATGCTATAGATAAGAAACAACCCATCTTCAGTCTGAGGACTGGCAGGCTGTGGTGCCTCATGGCAGGGGTTGGGAGGGGTGCAGCTTTGTCCATTCTGGGTTTAGGCAAAGTCCCTCACTGCTGCCACTTCTCCCTGCTCCCTAATTGTGGTGAGAACACTGCTTCCAGCCAGGTTGAGCAGCTAGAAGCTGTTTGTGCTGTTGCTGCTCCTCTCCCCCCTCCTTTGCCCTGTCATCTCATGATTGTGGCATGAGTGTAGCTGGAAGCTGCCCAACTGTAGCACAGCTCCCTACCAGCTGAAAGCTGTGCCTATGCTGAAGCTCCGGGGAGAGGGAAGCAGCAGCAGCACAGGTGCAGCTTCTAGGTGCTCAGTCCTGCACAAGCAAAGCCCTCCAGCTCTGCAAGTCAAATCCCATTATCCCCTGGGCCATATGTTGTTGACCCTTACTTTGTAGGTAGTAGAAGCAGAGCAACTGATTGGTAAAAGGAACAGTTTCTGGCAGGGAGCATTAATGCTGCTCTTTCTTCTCCAGGAGAGATATTTGAACTGAAGGCAGAATTAAACAGCGACAAGAAGGAGAAGAAGAAAGAGGCAGTGAAGAAAGTGATTGCCTCCATGACGGTTGGGAAAGATGTCAGGTGTGCAGCTGTACAAAATGGAGGTGTTGTTCTTAATTGACAGAGAAAGTGCCCAAATGAAACCTGGCTGTGAGGAATGCCTTGACACCTTTAATGGCTGCTGAGGCCCAGGACCTGCTCCTAATACACAGTAAACTAGCAAATTGCAGCAGCTCATGTAAACAGGTCTGAGCAGCAAAGTTGCTTGGACTGACTGCAAATTGCCTCTAGGAGAGCCCTGGGGTCAGCCTCCCATTCCTTTAATGGAAGGTTTGTGTTGCTTCTGTGGGATGGTTATCCCATTGCTTTGCACAAGGATGATGTGAATTCTTGTATCTGCAGTCTCAGCTATGAAAGGCAAGTGTGTAAGGGCAGCAGTCCAGTGGCAAGCAGGCTTGACTTGCCTTCCATAGTAATCTAACTAAAGGAGTCTTAGGCTGTTTTCCAGGCTATATGCTTTTCCCCTTCCTGCCCTCTTTTCCCCTAATTTAAACTCTAAAAATGCAAAGAAACCCCTTTTTGTTAGAGGATTGATCTAATTTCAGTGACAGTCTTGTTATTGCTGAGCCCAGAACACAAGAGAAAACTAAGCTCTTTCACTTTCCTCTCCCTTCCCCTGGCTTAATCTAATCATTCTTTAAATGTCCTCTCCCTCCCTGTACAAGCCACTTGCTTGAATAGTTATTGCTGTTGTACCATTCCTATATTAGAAATACATGACTTGAGGCAGTTACTGAGTACTGGCATATTCAAGGTTTCTTCAACTAGAAGGTCATTGCAAAAGGTGCCTTGAAAGCACCTAGCACTGCCCATCCTTTAACTGCTGCACACTTCATAAAGGCAGCCAGTATAGTGTGCCCTCTTCTGTTGTCCGGATTGGGGAAGTCACTTCAGTCTCATCTCTTAGTTATGCAGTGAGTCAGTAGTGGAGCTGTATTTGGAACCAAAGGTGGTGACACCAGCCCAGTGCTCGCAGCACTGATTTGTGGCCTTCTCCATCAGGGTATTCTGGCCATAAAGACCTTGCAAACCAGGACAAGATAGAGATGGGATGACTTGAACTACTGGATGAAGGGCTCCAATCATGCCACTCTTCCTTGAGCCTGAAATGCTGCTTGTTTTTCTCTTTATTTTCTTTCTTTCTCACTGTACAGATGCATGTGTCTGTAGCCTGAGACTGATCCTAACGAGCCATCAGAGTGTTACTATCATAAGATGCTTAATTAATAGTTTCTTAAAATAGAGTTAACTTGCTGCTGCTGAGCTGGTCTGTGAGTAGTTAGTTTATATGCAGGGAAGGCAAAGCCTTTAAAGCTTTATATAGATGCTCTGCCTTTAAAGCATGTGTGTTTGAAATTAAGTTTCTAAAACATATAAATGTGTATATATATTTATATTTTTTTGAAAACTTAATTTAAAACATTCCTACATCTTAAACGGAGATTGTGCTTGCTGTGTTGAGTCCTTTGTGGAAGATGCAACTCCACAGGCACCTTCCTGCCATAGAAGTGAAAGGTTATGCACACCAAGTAACTTTCCCTCTTGCTCCTCTGTCCTGGTAACATTTGCTGTAGTGATGCTGGTGCTCTTGTCTTTCAGTGCACTTTTTCCAGATGTGGTGAACTGTATGCAAACTGATAACCTTGAGCTTAAGAAGCTGGTCTATCTCTACCTGATGAATTATGCCAAAAGTCAGCCAGACATGGCCATTATGGCTGTCAACACGTTTGTGAAGGTGAGATGGGAAGATTGTTTATAGAGACTTGTATGGTGGGAGGGCTAGAGCTTGACTTGCCTTGTATTTTCAGGGCTGAACTAATTCAGCAAACAGACCTGACAGGCTATCGGTAAGAAATTGCCATTGATTTCAATGCTGCTGTTCCAGGAAAAGTGGCAAAATCTTCATCCGGTTTATGGATGGGTAACCCTTCGGTCCATCTGCTGTATCCAAGAGCTTAATCCTGACTTGGCATAAGTTTAGACTTCTTCACAGAGGCCTGCCCCTCACTCATTCCTGTCCTGCCCTTCTTTTGCTCTGCCATGGGAAGCTAACAGAATAACGTGCCACTTGTTCAGAATTCCTCGGTGTCAATTAAGCTGACTTCCTTGGCTTCCCTTCTCAGTGTAGCAAATAAGCAGCAATTCATTCCATTAGGTTTTAAACACTGGCAAAGGAGATATGTTTGGCCTTTATTTGAGCTCTGAATAAGAGTTGTGTTTTACTGATATTAAGAAGGGGGAAGTTGTGAAGTGTGCAGCTTTGAGCCTCTTTGACTAGTATGTATCCAGTGCCAGTCACATTTGAATTTGCCAGTCGGAAGTCAAGGCCTTGATCCTTCTTAATTATAATCTTTCTTATAGTAGCCTGAGGCTGGAGAAAGAATGGATTGGGAACAAAGATCCTGCCAAAGCAGCATATGAAATGGCTTTGCATTTGCTACTTCAGGGTATTTAGCTTCTTCAATACACTAGAGTAAGACTGACTTGCAGCTAAATAAAATTGCTGTACTTGGCAACAAGGCAGAAGGAACTTGGGCACTTGGCACTAGTAAAACCTAATTGCTGATGGCAGATGTCCTGAGAACAATACTAAAACCCAAATTGCTGGCATTAAAAGGTTAATCTTCTGTCCAGGCTTTCCAGCTCAGTACCATACTGAAGCACCTCCAATAAATTGCCTGATCTTAAGAGTATGCCCAGCAGTTCTGGTATTCAGGTCACTTCCAATTTTGGTGTCTGAAGATTAATTTAAGTTTATCAAACTTGGTCTGAAAACTGTGACCCAAAGTGAAGTGGCTGGAATCTAACATCCCTTTTTGATTCTTGTAGGATTGCGAAGACCCAAACCCCCTGATCCGGGCTCTGGCTGTGCGAACGATGGGCTGCATCCGAGTGGATAAGATAACAGAGTATCTCTGTGAGCCTCTGAGGAAGTGTCTGAAGGATGAGGACCCCTATGTGCGCAAGACAGCTGCAGTCTGTGTGGCAAAGCTTCATGACATCAATGCACAGCTGGTGGAGGACCAAGGCTTCCTGGATACCTTAAAAGACCTCATCTCAGACTCCAACCCTATGGTGATCGTTCTTTTTGGCTTTTGCTGCTCTGTGCTGTCCTCTGTTCCTTCCCCTCCTCAACTATTGTATGCAGGCAGTGGCTGTCCCCTGCTATTCATCCCTCTGCTGCTAATCCAAGCATAAACCTTTGCCTAGGTCTGTGCATTCTTCACTTTAACCAGGGATGCTTTGGGAAATCCTGCAGAACATCTTGAATGAGAAATCTTGAATGGCTTTTTCAGTGCCACTGTACACACAAGGGAGGCTTCCTTTGGACTCTCTTATCACTTGGCTTTAGTCCTTCCTCCTTCTAACCTGTCTTGTTGCTTACTAGACTGCACTATTTAGTGCCTGCCTCTTGAATGCTCTGTAGGTCATGACAATTGTCCTTGTAATTGCCACCTGCCTGACTGCTTTTAGATGGAGCCTTCCTTTGATCTCTGCAGCGCACTGTAAACAGGCAGTTGTTATCCTTGCATGGTGAGAACTTTTGCTTGTTGAAAGTAACTAGAGAACTGTGGAGGAAGGAGCCTAATGTTTCAGCATTAGTTACTGGCTTAATTTCCTGCACTAGCAAAGGGATGGACTAGACATTAGAGGACACAATTCTTCATTGCAAAGTGTATTTTGGCTTCATTTTGGGCAAACATTGAACTTGCTCTGTACTAGGGAGACTTGAGAGACATGGCTTGGGGATCTGCTAAAGCTGCTTCTGGGGTAGTCCGTGGAAACTTGTGACCCACACTGCAGGAGCAGTTCTGGTGCCAGTCCATTTACATTAGTTCTCTGTCCTCCTTGACCAACTTGGAGTAAGTGGCTATGAATGACAGTGCCCAGCAAATAAGGAGCAATATTGGTACAGTCTGCCTAAACCCTTTTATAGAGTGGCTACAGTGCCACCAAGCAAGAAAATAACTTAATCTTACAGCTCTTCTACACAGGACAACTGCCTGGAATAACTGTTCCATGCTAAATGCCTTCAGAGCATTCCCTTGCTACAGAAGAGCTAGTTTGCTTTAAACTTGCACCCTAGTTCATTTTGCAGTAAGCTTTCCAGGGAAATGAGCCTTTAGGAGCATTCTTGTAAGAACTATGGTTAGATTGCCAGTCAAGTTCATTGCAAGCCCTTCCCTCTTGCTGCTGGCTGGCTTCTGTCTTGTACATGAAATCGTCAGCCTAGTGGCTTCCCAGATGCCTCATGGGAGCCCTGGAGTCTCTTCTGCATATCCTCACTGGGAAAAGGAGTAGCAGGGATGTGCTTACCCTAGAATCAAGTGCCCCTTGCTTTGTAAGGATTTAGTTGTCAATATGATTCCAAGCACTGTCATCTTGATGCTTGTGTGAAACCAAAATCTATTGGTTTTCTATTCTGGAGGTTGTTCTATAGCTATAGAGAGTTGGGGGGGATTGTAACTGGGACACCAACCATGGGTGCTGACTGAGGGAGTGGCAGCTTCTAGCTTGGCAGCTGCTGCTGGCAGCACAGCCATGGACATTGCCCCATCACTGTCCAGGGCACAGAAGTGCATTTATATACCTCTACCTGGAGAGCCAACTTCTTTCTGCACCCTGCATTTCCATGAAGTTGCCCCATAGGAAGCCAGGGTCATGATAACCCCTAGCTCTTGCAAGAAATAATCCTAGCATAAAAATATAGGTTACATTTCAACAGTTACATTGGGAGTCCAGTAGCTCTTAGTTCACAAAGTGCTTGGATGTTAGGGTACCAGTAGAGATGGCCTAGATTGCATATGGCAGAAATGCGTTTCCATTTTTGTTACTGGGTCAGTCTAGCTCTTCATCTCTTTGGAACAAGCCACATTGTATGTGACTTAAGGTGTGACTTTTTTGAGACCTTTAAAATCCCTGCTCTGTTTGAGAGAGTTCTGTAGTCACAGTGCTGTACCGTATTCTGTATAGGGATGGGTTTTAAATAGCCAAAACTTCTCTCCCTCTCCTTCCTGCATGCCAATTAACAGCTGTCCTATACACCAGCGGTGGCTGCACTTTAATAGAGCATGTGTAGCAATGGTGAGTGCCTTGTGACCATTGTAAGGGGAGGGAAAGTATGGCAATATAATCACCCCAGAATGAAAGACTTGTGTAACATCTGTTTAGTGTTTCCTTCTGCAGCAAAGACTTGATGGCTCAGCCGTAAGCCTTCTGTGAGGAGAGAGCCACAGTCTGACACTGGTGGAGAGCTCTGACAGCTGGCCCTTGGGCACTTTTGTACTCAGTGCTACCTCTTCCCTCCTGGTCTACCAGGAGTACTACTTTGCCTAGTGAAGTTCCAAAAAGGAACAAGCCTGCACAGTTCCTCCAAACCCCCATGTACCAAAGGGGTTGTCGTGGCACTGAGTCAAGGGGCAGTCTTGTACATGTTAGATAATACTATGTTTGTTTGGATCCTAGGCATAGATGAGTTCTGCTCCCACCCCTGTCTCTAGAACAATGCTCTTGCCAAAATCCAGCTCTGCTGCCAGCCAGGATTTGGAGATGGCTAAATCTCCTTTGTAGTGATTGAATAACCTTGCTAGAGTAGACTGGTAGAAGTCTATAGCATCTGAATGCTATGTAGTTGGAGACTCATTTTTCTCTGGATTCTCCACCTTATTGAATATAAAACTCTGACTTGACAAAATAACTCAGAGCCTGTTGCCCACCATCTCTCCTGTTCCTCTACTGCCCTTCCAATCTTGTGCTCTGGCCAGTCTAGCTTCTGTCTTGAGGTTTCCACAGCGATGGGCAGATAGCTTCAAAAGAGATTATTTATGGTTCTGTAACTATGAAAGAAGGCTGCTGTTGTCAGACCCTGAATAATGGACACTGCCATTTGCCAAGTCGTAGGGTGAAGGACTGTCTGAATTCATTTTAACTTTAGTGGTGCATATGTTGAAGATGTTGTTATTGCGTAGGCAATGGGACCAAGCTAACGGTAATTACTCTTGTCTCTTGTATGTTAACTTGTGTGATTTTTTTTCAGCTCAGCACTGTTGGGAGAGGAGTTGGCCCCCAAATGTCACTCTGGTGCTGAGCGTGGTGTTGATTGCAAGCCTTTAGTGTCCTGTTACAGGGAAGTGGTAGTAGGCAGAATCTGAGCAACCTGGGCCCATCTGAAATGACCAGCTTTTTATTTCATAGGCATTAGGGGCTGGAAGGGACATCATGAGATCAAGTCCAGCCCCCCTGCCAGAGGCAGGAAGTCTGTAGGGATCAAATGATCCCAGCAAGATAAACATCCAAATGCCTTTTGAATGAGTTCAGAGTAAGTGCTTACATCACCTCTAGGGGGAGTCTGTTCCAGACCTTGGACACTCGGAAGAAGTTTTTCCTTACATCAAGTCTGAATTGGCCTTCTAGAAGTTTGTGGCCATTGGACCTAGTTATCCCTTAGGGAGCCGTGGTGAACAAGTGTTCTCCCAGATCCTGATGCATTTCCCCTTTATATACTTATAGGCAGCCATCAAGGTCCGTCCATCCGTGTCGTTCCCCCCCCAGCCTTCTTTGCCAGGCTGAAGAGTTCTATGTCCCTCAGCCTCTCATAAGGCTTGCTCCCTTGGCCTTTGATCATATGGGTAGCTCTTCTCTGGACTCTCTCAAGCTTATCCACATCCTTCCTGAAGTGGGGGACCCAAAACTAGACTCAGTACTCCAGCTGTGGCCTCACTAAGGCCGAGTAAAGCGGGAGGATGACGTTCCCATCAACTAGTACCCTTTGGGTCCAACCCCAGAGCCAGTTCCCCAGCCACTGGACCATGAGATGGCTGAGGCCACAGTTTCCCCAGCTTGGTCATGAGGACATCATGGGAGACGTTGTCAAAGCCTTCTTTAAATCCAGCTAAATGATATTGACCTCGCCTCCTTTGTCCAGGCAATGCATCACCTGGTCATAAGAGATCAGATTGGTGAGGCAAGACTTCTAGTAATAAAACCATGTTGGCTGGTATTCAGTAGGTTGCCTTCCGTTAGCCTGTTGCAGATTCATCCCTTGATAATTTTCTCCAAGATCTTTCCAGGGATGGATGTCAGACTGATAGGTCTGTAATTCCCTGGATCTTCCTTCCTCCCTTTCTTGAAGATTTGGGACCACATTTGGCTCTCTCTTTCCAGTCTTCCAGTACATCACCCAAGCGCAACAACCTTTCAGATATCTTGGCCATAGGGCATGCTATGATGTCCTCCAGCTCATCCATTCTCAGTAAGCCAGTAAGACTAGGACAGACTTGAAGGTGTATGCCCCTGTGATATCAGCAGTGGAAGCCAAAGACTAGAGTTGTTCTGCACATCTGGTTGGTGCTTTAAGTAGCTAATAGCTGGTGTTGTAATAGAGCTTCACCTTGGCCAGGGTGGAGGGGGGGGTGATGGAGTGGAATTTATAGATGATGGTCAAATGCCAACAAGATGTCTGTTCCAAGAGCTGAGTCCCTATAAGCTGTTTCTCTGCCCAGTACTGTTGCTTCGCATGTATGGTGACTGTTGGAGAGGCTTGGTTTGGGGTTTTCTTGTTTTGCTTTTAAACATCCATATACACAAGATTGGTAACTCTCTCCTTTCTCTCTTTCAGGTGGTAGCTAATGCTGTTGCAGCTCTTTCAGAGATAGCAGAATCTCACCCTAGCAGCAACCTACTGGATCTCAATCCCCAGTCTATTAACAAACTGCTCACAGCCCTGAATGAGTGCACGGAGTGGGGCCAGATTTTCATCTTGGACTGTCTGGCCAACTATATGCCTAAAGATGACCGGGAGGCCCAGAGGTGAGGGAGGGGTGATCTCAGTGGTGTAGAGACTGGTTCTGAACTTGAGAGATGCAGAAATTGGTCTGCTTGGCCAACAGTCCTTAAACAAAACCAAAACCACATTTGCTGCTTGGACCAGGCCCTGCCTAAGTGTCTGCCTCCTTCTTCCTGCCCTCAGGGTGAGTTGGGAAAGTGGGGGTAGAATCAGCAGTTGTGTAAAGGGTTCAGTTTTCCTTGCTTCAGCTGGAGCAGAGAGCATGCATGTGACTAATACTGTGACTCCTCTCTTCTGAAGAGTCCTGTGGGTAAGCTTTATCACTCAGTGAGTGCCCACCACAGTCTAGTAAAGTAACTTGAGGTGGTGACATGTGGTGTCTTTAGAGCCACATGACTCATTCCCTTCACTGCTAGCAGCAGGCAGAGACTTCTGGAGGTGAGAATCAAGGAGAGAGAGACTGAGAGAAGAATGGAGAATTCATCTCAAAGGATAACTTCTGCTTTGCTTTCCTGGAGTGTGTAGCTATCATGTTGAATAAAAGTCCCCTGGAGCTAAGCCTTTGCATTCACTTGACAGTTTGGAGAAGGCAGCCTTGTAAGCCGGTCATATAAATGGCTCTGGCTTTATATATGGCCCTCTTCCTACCATGCACCTAGCATCTGCCTCCTGCACTGGGTGGAGCATTCAGAATTGCTGCCCCTGGCATCTCTTGATAGAAGTCAGCTGACCTCTAGTTTCCTAGGCAGAGATTGTTCTTTACTAGTGCATGGAAAACACTTCTCTTTGTGGGTTTTTTAATAAGTTCTCTATTTCTGAGTAAGACAACAGGTGAGGGTTCCCTGTTTGCTTGTTCTCCTATTTGAACAGAGCTGGCCTTTGTCTTCCTCTGTAGTCCATTGCTGATTCCTAGGCCTGCTAGAGGCAGTCTCCCATAAGAACTATGCTGTAGGTCATGGCTTGTCTGCAAATCAGGACTTGTCTGTGCTGTGGCGCCTCTGCTTATATAAAGCTGTCAGCAGAGCCCCCTAGTGGTTATGCAGCATGTGCTGATAAAAAGGGGATTTTTACTGGCTTAGTTACACTGTCGTCTTGAAAACAGATACTGACTCAGACTTGGGAACCTGGTGGTACTGGCAGTGCTTTTCTTGGACTACTGTAATTAAATTCTTGATCCTTCTCTGTTCCCTTCTCTCTCTCCCCCTCCCTATTTTGTCTGTCTTGCCTTTCTACAACATCCCGCTAGCATTTGTGAGCGAGTGACTCCCCGGCTGTCCCATGCAAACTCTGCTGTGGTCCTGTCAGCAGTGAAGGTGCTGATGAAGTTCATGGAGATGCTGTCAAAGGACCTGGATTATTATGGTACCCTGCTGAAGAAACTAGCTCCCCCTCTGGTCACCCTGCTCTCAGCAGAGCCTGAGCTGCAGTATGTGGCTCTCCGCAACATTAACCTCATTGTGCAGAAGAGGTGAGGTGACCTCATTTGTTACTCTGTGGGCAGGGGGGGTGCGGGGAGCCAGGCAGGGAGGACCAGTCTATTCCTCACTGCCAGATCTGGTTGGCCTTGGTTGATCTTTCTCTAGCAGTAGCCACAGTAACACAAGGACATGATACAATTTGCTGTGGGACTTGCAAGCTAGAAGTTAATTCCAGACTCTGTTACAACTAATATATAACTTCTGCTAATGCAGGTCTCTATTATTAGAGCTATCATCATGGGTTTGCTCTTAATTCTAGTCGAATCCATTTGCAGGATTTGCCTTTTCCTTTCCAGAAGCATTGGAATGCCTCCAGCATGGGGCTTGCATTTTGGAGCAAGGAAATGAAATGGTCTAGAAACTGAGGTGCCAGTGTTTTCTAGTTAGTGTCTTGCACAGCATAGAAGGTACATGAACAACTAGCTCTGGCATTCTTTAGGTTGTCAATCAGATGTGTAACACTTTGGAGAATTTTTAGAAGATCACTTCTGAAAACATTGCATTCCTCTTTAAGTATTTTTTTTCCATCTTGCAGACTTGCTGTGGGTTGGGCATGTCAATGTCTCTGTACTTCAGTTGTGTTTGCAAGATGGTGTAATTGCACAGTAGGGAAATGCTAAGGTGTGAGGAGGTGCACATGCATAAGACTGATGCCCAGATCCTTTAGTAATCGGGGTCATTCAAATACTGAAGTTTCTATTGCTGAACACCCGTTGCACCCATGTAGCCCAGTAGTAGTTCATTGTTTCTGCTGTTGCCCTAGGGTCTAGCTACCCTAAAAAAGGAAAACTGCATCTCTTCCTCGAGTTTAGGACTTTGAATTGTGACTTCCCTGGTTGAGAACTACTGTTGTTCTGCTTCTTACTTCAGCATGTCTCAGCCAGGTGCTGCCTTGTACTCCTTCCTGTATTAAGCTTTTCTGGTAAATCCTAAAGCAGGCAGGAGTGTTGTATAAACCCCCTGCCCACCAGCCCAGGGAATAGAGGGTGGTGGGGAAGGAGAGTGATCTTTCCTGCCCTTGGTGTCCCTGCACTCACCTCCTCCAGATGGGGCTGTTGCAGCCAGCCTAGCTCCTGATGGAGCAATGCAAGTGATAGCGCCCCAGCCCAGCCCAGCCCAGCTCCCTAGATGGGCAGTGCAAAGGGGTCTGGAGGAAACCCTCTGCCACAGCCCTTCCTAGTTCAACCCTGCATGCCTCTCCTGGAAACGGAGGGGCTGTCCTACACCCCTCTTGCCTGGCATCCTGTTTTCCAGGAGGAACATGTGGAGGCAGATCAGGAAGAACGTGGGCTCCAGCCACAGCTGCTGCCATTCTGCCTCCACATGAGGCAGTTCATCCTGGCTGTGGCAGCACCCATGTTATGGCACCCGAGGGAACTGCAGCACCCAGTTGACCACTGCTCTACTGTCTTTCAGGCCTTTTAAAAGTCCCAGCTACAGCATTTAATTGAGAACTAATCCATGTAATAAATCTATAGTTTGCATGTGGGGGTCAGGCTGACTGGCTTTGTCTTCTCTCATGCTGAGCATTGTGCAACAGCTATGTTTTATGGGTGGGCAAGCTTTGTTTTTTTTCTAAAAAGCTTCTGGTACTGGCTACTGTCAGAAATGGTAGAATATGGGGACTGAGACCAGTGATCTGACCTAGCAAATTGATTCTCTGAGACTGCTGTCCTAACCTCAGTTGAATACAGATTCATGGTAGGCATCCTTAGGTTTGGGGCTTTAAATGTTTTTTATTTGTGATTTTTAAACCACAAGGGAACTTTTTGAAGTCACATAACAACCCTCAGCACCTCCCCACCCCCCACCCTTTCTGGATCTCTCCTTTCAGGCCTGAAATCCTGAAGCATGAGATGAAGGTGTTTTTTGTGAAGTACAATGACCCCATCTATGTTAAGCTGGAGAAACTGGACATCATGATCCGCCTGGCATCCCAGGCCAATATTGCTCAGGTCAGATCTTGGGTGCCGGGAGAGCGGGGAAGGGTAGACCTCTTGGTGTCATAGGCAGATGGGATGGATGGTAAGCAGGTCACAATTTTGGTTAAATTTTGGTGACTTCAGTGTATGGGATATAACTCTAAAGGTTGTGAACTCTGGAGTAGACAGAGTTGTTTAGCCTGATTTGCATGCAGGGATAATTAGCATGAAACTAAGTCACAGAGCTGAAAGGGAGTGGGAACTCCTCTGTAGAGAGTTAGGTTAGAGCCTGGCCAAAGATTGTTCAGGCTAATGAAACGAGTTTCCAGAGAGCCTTAGCTTCACTCTCCTTTTGAGGAGAGAGCACCTCAATGCTAAAAATTTTGACATGGACTACCTTGTCCCGTGCTGTGGTTGGAGCAAGGCCTGTCCAGTAGGAATCTGCTGGCTGCATCACTTCCTGGGGCACCATGGATTTTGCTACCTCCTATCTTTCTTATCAGTGGCACATGACTGCTAAAGACACTGCTGAACAAATTATTGGAGGATCTGAGCCCCTTGATTCTATTCTGGCACATTGGCAAAGGAAAGGAGGCTACTTCTGTTTTAGTGGGAGAGAGTAGGAGCTCTTTTTTTTTTTTTCCTGGTGTCCTATTTTATACATGTGTTTTAATGGTGTAAACTTTACAGCAGCATCTCCTTGGTGTCAGAGACACTAAGCACCCCCACTTTAAGGAAGCCCTGAACAAAGAGTGTAGGCAGAGTTCTTTGGGTAGATGTGGTACCTTTTTATTAGACCAACTGAGTAGTTGGAAGAAAGTTCTTTGCAAGCTTTCAGCACAATCGCCCTTCATGCTGTGAAGTTTCCATTTTAAATGGCAAAATTCAGTATCTTCCATGTTGCTGGGTTTTTGGTTATAGTCATGTTAGTATAAGGACATAGGCAGGCAAGGGTCTTTGGGTTGATGTTAAATAAAAGATATCACCAACTGAGTAGTTGGGGGAGAAAAAGATCGTTGCAGGCTTTTGGGCGTAATCACCCTGAACAGTGAGTAGTATTATCAAGCCACCATGCTTGTTAGTGCTCCTGAAGGTTTTAATTTACCCAGTCCAATGGGCAAGAATTATTAATGCCTCTAGTTCTACAGAGGCTGCTGTCACCTATGGCATGGTGCCTTCACCAAGCCATCAGGTCACTACAGCAATAAAATTTGCAGTCAGCCATAAGAACTGCCTTTAATCGCATCTCTGAAGAAATCCTGGTCTCTAGTGATTTAAAGGAGTCTACATATTGTTGTCTCCTTTTGGGGACAAGGCATGGCTCTGGTCTCATCCTGCTTTGTCTTCTCTGGCAGGTGCTTGCTGAGTTGAAGGAATATGCAACAGAAGTGGATGTGGACTTTGTTAGGAAGGCAGTCCGAGCCATTGGCCGCTGTGCCATCAAAGTTGAGGTGAGTGGTAAGATGCATTGGCAACTGGAAGAAGTCACTTCCAGGGAAATTGATGGGTCCTTTATTATTTCTGAAATAAAAGCAGTCTAAATTACCTGGTGGATCACAGCAGGCAGCACATGCTGGGGGTGTAGGAGCTTCCTGCCTTGTTCTCCAGAAATGTCAATTATAATCTGTTCCACGTGTACTGTTCCTTCTTATTAACTTTATAAGCGCTGTTTTAGCTGTAGGGATCACAGGTGTAAACAAAGTCCATCACCTTTTTTCTTGTTTTTTAAAGGTAAATTCAAGATGTCTTGAATTGACAGTCCAGTGATGGATTACTTGCACCTGTTCTTCCTTTGCTTGCTATTCAGTGAGCTGTTTCCATGCTAGACTTGTAATGTGGAAGGGGAAAGATTTTTTTTCGAGCCCTTTGCCTTGGAAATAAGCTTCAGAGAAGATGGGCTGCAGTTGTTCCAGAAGTTCTGTTTTGACCATAGTTCTGGAGAAACATACATTATTCATTTTGTAGCTGTCAATTTCTGTGTTTTGTCTCCATACACCAAGTTGGAGACATTTTTGGCTGCCAAAGCCTGGACAGGTGAAAAGGGCATTCCCCTCTTTAGAAGTCTTCAAGTTTAATCCTTCACTTTTTAAATTAACTTTTTTTTTTCCTTTTCACTTGGATACATTAGAAGAGGGGATTACAAAATCTTTTTGAAACTTCTGCATAAAAATACATCTGTATATTATATGTAAGCAAACCTATTCATAGACCAGGACAAATTTGACTTGACAGAATAAATTGTGTTGATGCAAAACCTCCTCAATCAATCAAATCAGAATAAGCAGTTCAGCAATAGCAAACTAGCTACCTTGGAATGAAATTGTCAGACAAGGCACAATTGGAGCTAAGTTGGTGCCTCTCAAGCAAATCTAACCATGCTGTGAATTGAAGAGTTGCCAGCAGAGAACAAAATAGCACTAAATGTAGTGGGTTTTATACAAATAGCATTTTGTAGCTGTGCTATCCCCTTCCACCTAGGATTTCACTCACCAAATGAAGCCTGGGCTCTTTTCTCTCCCCCTCCACCCTGTTCCCTTCAGTCTTTAACATAAGGAAACTGGTAGCTAGCACTTTTTTTCATAGTGGGATTACAAATTAAAATTCCTAACAAGTAGACTCCCAATCTTCATTTTAAAATAAGCATCTGGAGGCTTCTAGGACTATCAAAGCAGCCTCAGGGGTCACTTGTGGTGGGAAGCCTTGTGATCTCTGTGGCACAGAATGGGGAGGAAGCTGGCTGCTTGATATCAAATGCTTCGTACAAGCATGTTATGCATCAAGCTTCCTCTTTGTAAAAGGGATATGGAAAGCATCTTCCTGCAAGATGACAACTCGTACATAAAGACAATTTCTCGGTGATTATAGCAGAGCTCTTCCAGCATTCAACAGGGGGGAGTCTTGGATTGCTCTGCATTTAGTATAGTAATTTTTTGCTTGGCCAGTCATTGACAAGCTGGTAGGGTCAATAGTCTGTCCCTATGGCTCCCAGGCAATGAGATACCATAACTTGGGAACATGCCACTTGCTGATTACAGATATTCAGGGAGTGTGCTTCAGGTAGAGACTGGAGAAGGAAACAATCACCTGAAGGAATTGATGGGGAGCAACAAATGTGCATTGAGCCTCTTTGTGAGGGTGGGAGCGACAGTTCCTGAAATAGGAGTATGGGAGAATGGCGCACAGATCTTGAGGCTGGAGGGATGCAGAGATCTGATATAAGCAGAACTCGGTGCATACAAGCTATAACAGGCACAGCCCAGTTGCGTTTAAAAAGCTGTTGAACAAGTTGTGGCTGCCAGTGAAGTGCTCTGCCTCTTTTTGGCCTTGCTGAGGGAATGCACCACATGCAGCATGACTGCCTGATGGAACTGGCAGCTGCTCATTCTTTTCCCTGCTTCTGGCTGACCATGTCCCTCTCTTCCCCTGGACAGCAATCGGCGGAGCGCTGTGTCAGCACCCTGCTTGATCTCATCCAGACCAAAGTCAACTATGTGGTGCAGGAAGCCATTGTTGTGATCAAGGACATCTTCCGCAAGTACCCTAACAAGTATGTCTGCATACCACCTGTTGGCCACTTTGCTTGGAGAACTCTTCCCATCACACCTGAGGAAATGCTTCCCATGTCAAGCTGTTTCTACAGAAGTGTCCAACAGGCTTTTTGGGGGTTCTGTAGAGGGAAGAACATGTGTCTGAAGAGTTCTTTTTCTTTTCCTTTTATGCAGCAAAAGCATCTACATGTTCTTGGGGTACCTGGAAATCTAGGGCTCTTAAACACTTGATTGAACTAAAGGCTTGTAGGTACCCGTTGTTATTCCTAGTCCATTGGTTTGCTCCCAGTGCAGTGAGAGGGCATGAAGTCTGGATTCTGCAAGTGGTAAAGTTAGCAGCTTTGCCTGCAGCTGACTGCCAATTTTCATGACTGAGACTCTGGTTGAAGATAAAGGAAGGAAATGGTCCATTTTGAGAGTGTAAAGCTGGTTTATAGTAGGCCTGCCACAGCAGTGAGCTTTTGGAAGCCTAAAGGGGCTGGAGCTCCCAAATGAGACTGAAATAAGCAGACAAGAAGCTGAAGTGGCTCCTTGCATCTCTGCATTAACACAAATTGTCTCCAGTCTGCCTTATGATTTGGCAGTGCTGCTGTCACTGCTCACCAGCATTAAAAAACATGAGAGACTAGAGCTGCGAGACAAAGGAATTTGAAACAAATAAAGGGTGTGTTTAGTGAAGGGCCCTTGAGTGAGTGAGGCTGCTTACTGCAATATAATAGTACTGAAGTTCCCTTGTCTCTAGTGTCATAGTATAGCAGGATAGGAGGATAATTCAGTCTCCCATTTATAGTGAATTGGTGACTGTCACAAATGGGAAATAATGGATGTCTGTGGTGGTAGCTGTCAGTTAAGGACTGCTACTGAGCTGGAAGAGAAGAGCCGGGTGAGGGTGAGTCAGACTGAGAATTAATTATATGGAGAAACTAGAGAATGTAGGCATGCGTCCTCTAGAAAAGGGATGACCCTCCTGAAGTAGATGCATCTGTCTGCTGCTTGCCTTAAGGCTGTTACATAAATAGATGAACTTGTCAAACAAACCATGAGCACAAATTACAACTAATGAAGGGGCTGTCTAGACGACATCTTTTAACAGAGCATAGCTGATACATGAGGAAAGACTTTTCAAAGGTAGTTCATAGGAGCCATTAGTGGAGAAGCATTCGGAGGATAATAAAAACTGGTGCCCTTGGTAATTTCCTGACTCTGTGTGGTTGGGTTTTTTTATTGTTCATTTCTTTCAATGGACTGTGCTGTGCTTCCATAAATAATCAGTGGCGATGATGACCTAAGATAAGTGTCCCCTCTGGCCTGATCTGGAAGTCCTGTAGCACACTTTACTTTTTTTTTTCTTCCCTGTGAGAAGAAAAAATGCTACTGTCCTCCAAACCTCTTAGGCTGACACTAGCCATTCACTCTCTTCTTGGTCACACTTTTTCCCCCCTCCCCCCTTACTTTCTGAAAATAGGTCACTAATAGCTTCAAAACTCAGCACTGAAAACTCAACAGATACAGCCTGGCCCATCAAGGGCCTGTAGCAACTCTCATCTCTGCCAGAATTAGGGATATGAAGGGAGGTGAGGCTATGATGCTGAGCCTGGGCAAAGCCCAAACTCCCTGGCATGAACCTTAAAGGATTCTGTCATATAAATGCAGACCATGTTACATCTCTGTGAGGGGGAACACTTGGTTCTAACTCTTTAAAAGCTCTTGTCAACAATGGGCCCCGGTGCCAAGTGCAAGATCATGCTCTGGGGCACTCGTGTTGAGGTCTGGTAATCCCTGTATTAACCAAAGCCCTGAGTATATAATGTCCTGGGTGGAGGGGAAATTCAAGAACTGTAAGGGTATTGTTCAGGAGGTGAGGCCAGGGCTGGGAGCCAGGATTGGGTTCAGCTACTTCCTTTGGCATTGCTAAGATGTGTCCATTACCCATGAAGGTATGAGAGTGTGATTGCCACTCTGTGTGAGAATCTGGACTCCCTCGATGAGCCTGAGGCCAGAGCTGCCATGATCTGGATTGTGGGAGAATATGCTGAACGAATCGACAATGCAGATGAACTGCTGGAGAGCTTCTTGGAGGGGTTCCATGATGAGAGCACCCAGGTAAGGGGCTGGGACTAGAATGTTTGAGGCTCCTTCCCTGCCCCACCTCTGACGCATCTTGATGAGATATAGAGGTCTTGACCGCTGGTACAGCTTAGTACTTTTTTGGCTCTTCAGCTACCTTTCCCCTAGAGTTATGGCCTCTCCAGGTGAGAATAGTGTAATCCATTGGCTAGGCCACCATTTGGGGAAGCTTACTTTGCTGCTCGTGCTATACCTGTTTTCTAGATTAGATCTCTAGAGCTCTTGCCTCATCATACAGGCCTGAGCTGCAGGTTAGTTTGCAGGTCAGCGGACATCTGGAAAGATCCTGGGGATTCTCAGTGAATTTTAACTTTTATTATATTTCTACTACTAACTTGAAAGAATTGGGTGCTGGGTAGCTCCATGGCAGGGTGCAGTACCTGGGAGGCAGAATGCTATGAGTTTAGGCTCCCATGGCTGCCTCTTGGGTGTAGCCAAATGGTTTCTGTCACTGTGGATGCAGAATACTGGCCAAGATGGACCCATGGGCTGACCTATTAATGGCAGCTCTTGTGTTCTTTCAGTTGGAAAGCAGGTGGCTTACGTGAACAGCTCTTAGTGGTGTTTGGCTGGGCTGAGCTGAACAGAATTACTTAGTTTTTTGAAGGACTGCAAAACTAGAGACCTGCTCTTTGCACTCTCCTGGGCAGTAACCTGCTGCTTCTTTGGGATTGGAACACAACAGTCCCATTCATCTGTGCTGCATTAGTAAACTACTAAGATAAATTATAGACCTTTTTCTTCAGTCTCTACTAGCCTGGAGGATTTGTATCAGGTTGCCCTTATTCTGGGATGAGTGGGAAGATGGAAACTGTTCCAGTCTCTTACTGCCTTATTGTGTGATCTTAAGCAAATCAGTTAAATTGGTGTGTCTTTGTAATCACCATTTTATATATGGGGAAACTATTTTTCAACTGCCCGAGACTGGGGGGGAGGGAGGGAGGGGGGGAATGGATAAGCCTGTTCTTATGAAGCTTGGAATTGCTGTGGTTATGGGATGGAATGTAGAAAAGCCAACATCAATATTAACCTGGTGTCTACTGAACTTTTACTGGTTGAAAGCCAGTTAATGTTAAATTGGCTGTCTTCTGGACTTCTAAAGCCAGAAAGCACCAAGATCACCAAGCCAGAGGTGTTGCAGTAGTTCATACTGTTTATTCCTGTACTGAGGCTAAATGTGTGACTGAAGTTGTTATAAGAGCTGAGCTAAAGTCACAGAAAATGATTAGCTGGTTTAAGGAGGTGTATGCCTGGCATCTACCTCGCTTGACTGACTGAAAAGCATCCGGTGTGCTTAACCAAATGGCACTGAATTAGATTTTCAGGCATAGGAGCATCTGAAGTGCATGCAGTCTATCTCTGCCTGATCCCAACCCCTGCTCTACTCTGTTTTGTTCTCTGTAGGTCCAACTGCAGTTGCTGACTGCAATTGTGAAGCTCTTCCTGAAGAAACCCACAGAGACTCAGGAGTTGGTGCAGCAAGTGCTGAGTCTGGCTACTCAGGTGCGTGATAGGGCCTTGTATGTTAGAATGTAACTTCCTTTGTTTTCTCAGCAATCTTTCCTGTTTCTTGGGTTTGCCTGCCCTCTCCAAAGCAGTGGGATGTATAAATAACACTAGTGGCTGTCTGAATGCAAAGACACTTCACAGCTGCTTGGTTATGCTCCACATGTTGATGCAGACTACTTCTTAGAGCAGGCTTGCGGGAGGGGCCACGTGACTAGTGCACAGCTGCACTTGAGAGTTTTGTTGCCCTGGTACCAACAGGATGGAGGAGCATTGGGCTGCCACTTAGAATTGTTATTCTCCACTGCTTCCCAAGGCAATGAAGGCCATCAAATCCCCTAGCGGCAAGTATTGCTGGCCATCATGGGGCATGGCTAAGTCCCTGTACTGAAGAACTGTTGCCTCTTACTGCAAGAGAGAGAGAGTCTAAATGGGTACATACTATGAGAGAAAGGTGGGCATTGGAGAATCATGGACCTTGACATGTGTTGAGCTCACATTTCACGTACCCCTTATCTACCTGAAGAAAATGTCACTTATTGAGTCTGGGTCATAGATTTCATAGACACTAGGGCTGGAAGGGACTTCGTGAGATCATCAGGCCCAGCCATCTGCCCAAGGGGCAGGAAATCAGTTTCATAGTTGGTAGGGTCGGAAGGGACCTGAGGAGATCATCTAGTCCACCCCCCTGCTGTGGCAGGAAAGAGTACTGGGGTCAAACGACCACAGCCAGACGTTTGTCCAGCCTTTTTTTAAAGACCCCCAGGTCTTTTGGAAGTTGGTTCCAGGTCCTAGCTGCTCTGACAGTGAAATAGCGCCTCCTAATGTCTAGCCTGAAACTACCCTCC